TCAATGATGTTTTGCAAAACAAATTCTTTATTGTAATAGCAAATAATAGGAACCACATCACTTGAGGACGACCCAGAGCAGCAACAACTAAAATGTAAATAGAAGAGAAAATAATGACATAATCAAGATGTTAACATTCCACACTACTTCAAATAAAAGGTTAGGAAGGAAATCCCACTTCAACTCTGGAAAGGGAAATAAAAGCTACTGGACCTGAAAAGCCTGTTTTCCTAAAAAAAACTTGTTTTAAGACAAAGATTTTATAAATTTCAAGTGAAAACAATACTGTCTGTTCCAAATGCCAAAAACTTTAGAACTGTATGTTCTTATGCCAAACCTTCCTTGTAGAGAAATGGTTAATATTACCATATATATATATATATATATATATATATATATATATACTTATAGGCGACATGTTTCATGCTATATGCAATCGTCAGGCCACGGCCTGACGATTGCATATAGCATGAAACAGACTGTCGCCCCTAAGTGTTGACTTCTATGTTCACTTTTATATTTACACATGCTCTATCTCTGATATTGAGCACTTTATACCATAAATATAGCACACCTTAAGACTATATTTCTTTATATATATATATATATATATATATATGATAAGAACAAATGCAGTATAATTACTCTATCCATAACATTTAATTTAAAAGAGGACTCAATACAGAGTAGAGCTAAATATTATTATTAGAGATTAAAACAAAAACATGTTAAAAATCACTACCCAATAGCAATCATGTTTCAATACTACAAATGTTTTTCCTCAGGTGATGGTAAATTACTGGTTAGTGAATGATTAATTTCAAAAGCAGAATACTTCCTCTTTTTCTGAAAGAGAAGACCAAAAAAAAAAAACCCGAATTAAAATGAGGCTTGTGGGTTTACCAAGATTAACCAATCAAATGTGAGGCCTATGCTAAAATCCAAATCAACTGAAAAAATTATATAGGTCATGACATGAAGTTGTCTACATAGAAATCCTAGACAATTTCGTTTGCAACTGATACAAATGATTACATTATTTCATAAAATATAGAGAAGTATGACATTCAACATTCACAGGAAGTTAAGGGGAAAGGGGTAGGGGATAACTTAGCATAATGTTAATTAGCTATATGCTCGGTGATCTTTCTACATAGAATTTTGTAGTTGATAATTAAAAGGCTTCTTTAAGAAACTAGCAAAAAAAAAAAAGAATCATAAATTCAAAACTACTTTGGTAAATTAATATGTAACCATTAAGTAAAGACTGATCCATGTAAGATATTAATAATACAAATTAATTAATATTAGATCTTAATAATACTAACTAGACGTCTATACATCCATATATACTATCTTGATTATCTTATATATAATAATAGTTAGCCATTCATATTTGAGGATACCTGTCTATTAGGGCGGCTAGCCAATCCTTAATTCAGACACTTGCTCTGGCATATTTGGGTTTGTTCAACACCCACAGAGCCTACTTGTGGTTCATATTGCAACTATGCTGAGCTTAGTTACAGTTTCTGGGAGAGAGTGTGTTATCTAGTGTAATCAACAATCTGAACAAGGCCAGTACACTAAAATTCTCGGTCACGATGACTTGTGACTTTGTGCTAGCACAGCTGTTGACGGTCCCCCATGTGTTTCATTTACCCAATTTCACTCACAATGCTTGGGTCAACCTGTGGTATGGTTTTCAGGCACTTTCCAAAGGTGCCGCATGCTGGGATCATCCCCCTCCAGACTGATAACATCAGGTAGTCTCCTTCCTGACAAGTCAACCGTGGGGAGCTTCAAACTTGGATCTCTTTTATATATATATATATATAAGACAGTTTTAATATATGCTATATTTATGGATAAAAATATTCAACATCAGGAATAGAGAACATGTAAATATAAGAGTGGACACTGAGCTCGGCAGTAAATGGCAACAGTCCCCTCCATGCTTAATCGCAATCTTCAAGTCAGTAAAAAGGACCTTCCTGCCCTTAATCCCAGATTGACCATTATATACAAATAGTTGAGCTACCACCCGGCACACATTTAAAATGAATTGACCATGTCTGCATGTTAACAAGCACAATTTATTAATGGAGATCTCCAGAATATATCTCTGTGCTGATTTTAGCATTTCATTTTGTCTTCATAATTTCCTATACTTCATCGCTGTAAGCTGTGTTTGTCAGTTTCCTATCTTTCCTAGTCTCTGTCCTGCTATTAATTTGCTCAAGTTCATTAGGTTATTGTTTTCTTTTGCCCCTCTTGTCTTCAATATGTCTTGTGAGTGTCAAATCCTCCAGACCCTCTTTCCTCATTATGTGTCCCAGAAATGTTAACTTTCTCTTTCTGATTATAAGTACAAATGTCTTTTTTGTTTCTATTTTCCTTAAAACTTTCTTGTTGCTCACATGTTACATACATTGTATTTCCAGCATTTTTCTATAGAACCGTATCGCTCTTGCCAAAAGTCTTCTCTTCATTTGTGAGGAAATTGTCCAACATTAACTACCTTATATTACATAGCAGTTCAGCACTCTTTTCTTTGTTACTAACAAACTTTTCCTGTTTGTTAATACTTTTGCTATCCTACTATACGTTTGGATTCTGGTGTCCCATTTTCCATCAGCTGTTAAAACATGATGTAATGGAATAACCTGTCACCCCCATGAGTAACTACACTATAGGTAGCTGTAAGTCAACATACTACAGAGACTAGCTGGGATCTCTTTCAGCTAGATGGTCGAACTCCCTACCTTCGGGCAGAGAGGAACCCAGACAAGATTCTGCATTCCATTAACATTGGAAAGGACAGCTTCAATAAATGTGTGGTCACTACAGCCGTCAATTGCAAAAGAGGGAGATTTCAGAATCAAGTTTATCGTGTGGCCCCAAGAAGGGATCTTCATTGGACAGGTAAAGGGTTAGCTCCCTTTACTATCCCTTTCAAATTTTTATAACATGATTGATTTTAGTATCGACAATTTATAACTCAAATTATTGGCTTCTTCATTTGATGACAACTGTACATTCTATCTCATAGAAATCAATGGTTAGTTCTTTCTTCCCATTTTACTTTATGACTTTCTCTCGGAGTTTTGCAGTTTTCTTTGTGTGTCTGCCATCAACACAATGTCATCTGCATATTTTATGGTGGGAAGCCTGTGGGGAGATACATCCTTTCTATTTTTGTATGCTTACTCACTTCATTTTCTATTCATTTTCCACCCAGCATAAATTCTAATGTCTTTCCCAATTAAATCAAGTTTTCCTCACAGTTCAAATAGATCTTATCAAATTCTTTTGTGTAGTCTATGAAACATGAATATATATATCCATCTGCATTTGTGTGGCTCACTCAGTGTTCTTGTTTTCTATTTCTGGTCAAATTCTGTTTTGTGCTCTGTTCATCTGAACCAATAAAGTGCCATACATGATACATGCTTGGACGATCATGTCTCTTTTGATCCATGACTGACAAGGCAGAAGATTTTCCCACAGTAGTTTGTTATTTCTTTTTTGGTAGACTGGTTGCCAAGCAAAGCTATAGAAACCAGTCTGTTTTACTATTCAACCCATAGTCAAAAGGAGAAGAGATGGATCCATACCTTTCCCAAGGGTATTTGCATGTAAGTGAATGTAGTGAACTCGACTGGAATTTGAACTCTGCTCTCTGAGTTCTCATTCTGACTTGATACTCATTACGCCGAAATGCACATCCATCATTCCTTAGAGTACTATTCTTATAATACTTAAACCAGTTTTGGGCAGCATGATCAGATATTGTTTCATATCATTCCACTGTTACCTACAAGCAGATTCAGTAGATCCAAAAATTTCAAAGCTGCAAGAATCTCAGTGTTTCTCTTTGTCATCATAGTGTTTAGATGTTTACATGAAATAAACTTTGAAGTAAAGGTCTGTAAAAACAAATAAAAAAGATACCTTTGATATATTTTCTTTTTAATTGGTATCACCCCATGCAAGACATTAATGCCACTAATACTCAAAAGGGTTACAGGGTGTAGAAGAATTAGGAACAGAAACATTAATAATGAGCGGGAAGAGAAAAGTGTAGTCAGGAACATTGACATTGCATTTAAATTTTTGCAGATTAAAGTTGGCTGGAAAGCATGGAGCAGAAAGTAAGTTCCACAAGTGAGAAGTGTGAGAAAATATACTGTTAGCATAGAATTTGCAGCTACGTCTAGCCAGCTCAACATTAAATTGAGTTTAGTACTGTGCTTAAATTCAAAAGGTCTAGATGTCATATCAAAGAGTTCAGTTGAACAATTGCCATGAAAGTATTCATAGAGAAGGCACAGAGACACAATCTTGCGGCAATGGAAAAGTGACTGAAGCTGAGATGCCAGATCAAGACCAATAATATTGCTGATTCTTCTTTGGATTTTATCAAGTAGCTCAATGTAAATAGCAGGCTCCCCTGGACTATATGTGGCATCAATATTCTAAGCATGAATGAATGGTAGATTTATAGATATGCAAGATAGATTCTGGAGAGAAAAATTGTCTTGCCCTATATAGTGAACCAACTTTCTTAGCAGCTGACTTAGCAATGGATTCAATATAGTCTTCCCAGTTCATGTCAGCTGAGAACATTACCCCAGTAAGGTGCAATGAGTCACTTTCCTAGAGGTTAGCAATAGCCATGCTGATGGGAGGCAGTGAGGGGTCTCACAGATGATTAATAGAGAGCAGTTATATAGTAATGTTTATTTTCCTATTTTTAAAAATAGGTGACTTGGTGTGAGCTGATTGTTAGAAAGTAAAGGCTAGCCTTGATTATTACTAGTGATTAGGGAGTTGAATCCTCAATGGGTGCCCCAAATAGAATTCAGCATTAAGTAACCACACAAGTATTGCAATGTCAATCATTATCTTTTGTCTTCTTAATTTCTCTTCTTTTATTGTTAATAATATTTTTCTTTGTTTCATTCTTTCACACTCAGTAATCCCTTGCACCTTAGGTGACAGCCACATCATGTTGAAACACCAGTTTGCTGTATGATCACTGAAGTTAAGCAATGTTGAGCCTGGTCAGTACTTAGATGGGTGACCACTTAGGAATACCAGGTGCTGTAAGCTTGGATGTACAGGAGATGTAATGGATAATGGCTTGGAATTGTTAATTTGAGAGCTAAATTTTAATTCCAGTTGGGTTTGTTATATTCACTTACACACAAATACCCTTGGGAAAAGTATGAATCTACCTTTTCTCCTCCCAGCTATGGGTTAATTAGTAAGACTTGTATCATTAAAACTATTAATATCTCCCTCCAAAAATAAAATTGCTTATGAAAATATTTAGATTTGGCATTAAATATAGAGATTGATATGCTGCTAAATAAAAACAACGAATTTGCTTCTTAGTAGCTGTATTGTCTTTTTTAGGGGGATATGATTAAAAAATGCCATAAAATCAACCAGTTTATTATCCATGATCTTCATCTACAGAAAATGAATAGTGTTAAACAGGAGAACAAATGGGGGTAATTGTTAGAAAGGCTAGTCTCATTGATTATTATTAGTGAGTATTGAGATGAACCTTCACTGGGTGCCCCTTACAAAATTCAATATTAAATCCAAAAATGTTGACATGCCGTAAAATCAACCAACTTAACTTTTGGGATATGTAGCTGACGTAACAGTTATCAACATAGGAGAGTTGAATTGGCAAGCCAAGTGCATATTCCCACTTAGATTTGTTTTTCACTTTTGTATAAATGCCCATGAGAAAGACAGGGAACCATTCCCTCTCCCTATCCACCAGCTATAACAGGATAGACTGTGATTTCTAACTGTGGGTGACAAATAGTCTAAGAGAAGAACCACTCAGAATTTAAGTTTAAATTCAAGGCCCAGTTTTAAATAATGTCTTAAAGTTGCCAGAAACTATGATTCTGCCATTGTGAAATCTAAAGGAAAAGATATAACAGAATAGCAATGATAATGATATACTTGTATATTTTAGATGCACCTTAATAATAGAGCAGAGGTCATAGTCTAAGAGAAGGACTTCAAGGCTCAGTTTTAAATAATGTCTTAAAGATGCCAGAATATATGGTATCTGCCATTATAAAACCTAAAGGAAACAATACAACAGAATAGCAATGATAATGATATACACATATACTTCTGCTGCACCTTAATATAACATTGCAAAGTCACTGTGTTTTTCAAGTTGGAACCTAATGAAAAAGAGCAAATTATAATCAATTAATGAAGGAAAAAAAAAACATTATAAAAATGACTTTTCCAAAATTACATGATTTAATGCAGATGGCACCCAAACATGAGGAAGAAAAAAGAGAAAAAAAAAATGGACAGCTATAAAATAACGATTGAAAGACATGTGACTTCCCGGGTCAGACAGAGATGAAGTGGACAGTGATCAAAGTAAAAAAAGCATTATCAAAAAAAAAAAAAAAAGAAGCTTAAAAAGGAAGGATTTTATTAATTATGAATTTATTAATTAAAATGAAATAAGAACAAAGAAAGTGTAAAAACAAATAGAAGAACTAAGTAATGATATTAATAGTCTATTTATTTGCATTTCAATCTATAGAGGCATGTATGTGTCTCTGTATTCGGACATTTAAATTTATATGTGCATATAAAATTGCGTAGTAATAACTGGGAAAAATGTATGACGAAGTGGAAAAAGTTTACTTGTGTCGCATTTCGTCCTTCAGGACTTCATCGGACTAAATTTTGTTATGTTGGTAGGACTGCACATACTCATGACAGAGGAGTGCTGGGAATTTCAGAATTTTAAAAAAGTTTTTTATTTACCCAAATTCATTTACAATCTTTTTCTTTCCATCAATTTGTAACTAGGTATTCCATACTGATAGAAGAAGATCTGCCAGGAAATGTTATAAGAACCAGGGCTCAAGTTTACTCGAAATGATCTTGTGATTAAGGCAATCTCTAGACATTTACAACATAATGAATTATTTTCTCCTTTGATCAGAGTAGATCTTGTTAGGGTGGGCAACCAATACATTTGATGTATTATTTATAAAATGTCCCTTATAACTGCACATTTTAATGTGCATCTGCATAGATGAAATTGAATGCACAAATGTGCATATAACTGTACATCGTCATGCACATATTTTTATGTCTCTGAACATTTTTTATATAATTATTGCACACATGTATATATATTAACTGTCTGAATTTATTTCCAGTTAGACAAATGTTCTCATCTATCTTGTTATCACATTTCAGCCAGAAATTCCAGCAACTAATAATACTGGCGCATAACAAAAAGACTGCAGTTTTAACAAAATTGAAATGTCGGTGTAGGGAGGCAAGCTTGACAGCAAGTTTGCAGCAGTGGCACAGGAGGTTCAAGGAGACTGACAAGGATTCCCCAGGCAATTAGAAGCAGGCTGACTTTGGAGAAATATCATTTTTTTTCTCATTTTATAAAATTTCAAGAATCCTCTAACAAGTTGTTTATCACTTATAGCCATATCACATTGAAACATTGGTTTCCCATTCAATCACCAAAGTTAAGCAACATCAAGGCTGGTCAGTACCTAGATGGGTGCCTTCTTGGAAATACCAGGTGGTGTAATCGATAATGACTCAGAATTGTTAATCAGAGAACCAAGTTCCAATTCCCATTGTGTTTGTTATATTTACTTATATGAAAATACTCTTGGGAAAGATATGCATGCACTTCTTCTCCTCCCAGCTATGGGTTAATTAGTAATATTTGTATCACTAAATCATCATTATCTCCCCACATAAATTCTTACAATCTGAAAATATTTTCTGACTTTCATTAAAATGCAAAGTGTTGATAAACCATAGAAAACTAATCAATTAGTCAATTATTTATGATGGTTATAAATGTATTTATGGTAGCATGAGAGAAAAAACAAAACAAGTACTACTTGCTTTCTTTCTATGTGCTGTGTCCTTTCAGGATGTAGGCAGTCATGACTCTCAACAATTTCCTTCTCTCTGTCATCCACTTGCTTAAGGCCACTAGGTATGTCATGCATTGTTTTACCTTGTCTCTCTTTCCCTCTGCTCGACCTGTGAGTATCAGATTCTCCAGGCCCTCCTTCTTCATTATATGTCCCAGGAAATTCAGCTGCCTCTTCCTGATGTTAAGTATAAGCTTCCTCCTTGTTTGCATCCTCTCTATGACATTGTTATTCACATGCTCAGGCCATGATACCCTTAGGATACTTCTGTAGAACTGCATCTCTGTCGCCTCGAGTCTCTTCTTCAACTTTGAGGAAATTGTCCAACATTCACTGCCATAAAAAAGAATAAATGTCACGTAATAACTCAGTATTCTTTTCTTTGCTACCAAAGAAATCCTCCTGTCTTACAATACTCTGCCCAGCTTTTGGAATGCGTCCTTGGCCATCCCAATATGTCTACAGCTCTCAGTGTCGCATTTACTGTCCTCTGTCAGAACACTTCCCAGATATTTAAACTTCTGAGTCTACTTGATTCTAGTGTTCCCGATCTGCAAATTGCATTTTGGGCTCATCCTTTTACTGACGAACATGCATTCTGTTTTCTTGTAGTTTATGCTTAGTTCCATCTTCACACTTTCCATTGCTACCTTCTGTAGGAGATTTTGTAATTTCATTTCCCTGGCTGCTATCAGTACCGTGTCATCTGTATATCTTACGTTGTTAAGATTGTGGCCACCAATGCTAAATATCAGTAGGGTTTTCAATTCTCTCAGAATTACCTCGCTGTATAGGTTGAACAGGTCAGGTGAGAAGACGCATCCTTGCTTTATACCCCTTTCTATTTTTGTATATTCACTGAACTCGTTCTCTATGTGCATTCATGCTGTTTGCTGCCTGTATAGATTCTTGATTATTCTGATATCTTTACCATCTAAAAGGATATTACTGACTTAGATGTTGTTTAATTAAAAAAAGAAAATACACAAACATTCTGAAGTTTTGCAGAATAGATGGAGAAACTTTTCTAAAGTTCTTGGTTGAATTTAACAACAGATACAGGAAAAGTGAAGAAGTACACAAGGGTTTTTAGGCATTCTTTTTGTTAGAAGCAGCTAGTGCATCTGATGACAATGTTATACTTTGCTTCAAACTCACCATCTAGTATATCAGCATTGTTGTTACATGAGTGATTAGTACAGGTGTGTAGTGGAAAAAGACTAGCGAGAGAAGCATGCCAAGGTTTATTATTTTGTTTTTGCATCATCTGTATAACATGGATGTCCATCTTGACATCCATGTTATACAGATGATGTATAAATTAAAGGTTGACCAGGAATGTGTGATAGGACATTGTGTAAGGGCCAAATGCTTGTGGGTTATATGTGGCCTGGTTGTAACAGCCCTCAGTCCATTTGTTTGATATCAAATTCAACTTTGTAATTGCTGAAAACATTCTGAGTCAAACTGTAGAAGAGTGTGTTTTTCTGAACAGCCTTTGAAGTGCTGAATGCTACAAACCTTTAAATAAAATAAAAAAAAGAGAGAAAAATATAACATTAAAAGTCTGGGAATAGAAAACTGTTGTCAATAGTGTTATACTTTGCTTCAAATTACATTGCTTTCTGATTCACTCCACATCAAAACTTGTTGGCCAAATGTAAATGCTAAGAAGGCAAAATAAAATGTTACTCTCTCTACAGGGGCTCTGAGCATCACATACAGTTTACAAAAGAAATCCCCTTCCCCCAAAATATAAAATATAATACAAAAGGAACCAATCATGAAAGTTGTCACAAATGCAAAACTGCATCATGTCAGAAAATGTTCCACCCCCATCTACTTTTAAGAATGTTGCTCATGACACTGTTGCAGAGTCAGAGACAATGAAAAAGCCATCTGCGTCACCACAAGTGACCTCAGTCAACTGACACAACAAACCCATAAACTTGTGCAATAACTAAAACTCTAGGGTGCACTTCAAATTTAAAAAAAAAAGAAAAACTACTCATGAAATTTGAAAACAGGAAAATAATAAAGAAGCCTATTGATACAAGGATGATTTATTTTTAAGACATTACAATATATATTTAAGTATGCTTGTATGAAACCTGTGTTTGACATACTTTGGCAAAGAATA